CAAAAGCTTCCTATCCCTTGCATTAGAGTTAACCTCCACTTCTTGCTCTACTCCTGCACCGGAAGTCGATGGAGCAGCATAGTCCATCTTGATCGATAAGGAGTTAGTCTCCTTTTTGGACATAAGAGAGCTTTCCTTATGTCTCCTTTGTTGACGTAGGGCTTCTGCTACTTGGTCACTGCTCACTACTACTTCGGCCTTCTGGCTTCCTGCAGACATAGGCTTTTCTTCTGGCTTGCTTATAGTCACCGACGGCTTGACCTGTGATAGTCCGGAGTTCAGAGCTCTTTGACGGTTTCTTTCCATTAGCTTCTTCCGCAGAGCTGCCATGTTATCCGAAGCCCCAGCATTCTGTGGCTGTGTAATCGGAGTGCTTATAGATTGGGGCGTGACCACTTTCGGGACCTCGATTGGGATAGATGGATTAGATGCAGGTTTATTTGAGTTAGTGTAAACCATGGAATCCACAACTATATTAGTGGTCTGATGGTTTGGCAGAGTAACTCTTAAGTGAGCCATCTGGCTAGTTAGTTCTTTGACCACAGCTGCCATTTCTCCCAGTGCAATTTGATTCCTCTTGGTTTCTTCCGTATGGCGCTGGGTCTCATTCCCTACGATCTCTTCTAAGAACCTGATCCTGTCCTTAAGTGATTCGTTATCACCGCGCAATTTTTGTAGTTCTTTCCTTAGCGCTTCACTCATCGTTGACACCCACTTTGTAGTATTCTCTCTCTCTCTCTTGATGTCATCTACGTCAGCTAGCAACTTGTCTATTAAATCATTTCCTTGATCATCATCACTCACTTCATTTCCAACATGATTCTCTTGTTGAATTACCTCATTAGCTCCTGCTGGTACACTAGTAGATGACACGTCTATGACAGGGTTGGATAGGTCATCAGCCATATCAGTGTTATTCTCATCTTGAGCCAAGATGGTAAGCAGTGATGGACTGTCACACAGTAGGTGCGTGTCTTCCTTTAGGCTCTGTTCCTGTTCTACTCCCTTTACTTCTACTTCTACCCCCTCGCCACTCTTTTCTCCTTTCCCTACCACCGTCATCAAATCTGGTACCTTATACGTGGTAGAATCTGTAAGTGGAGATGTGCTTAAGAATATGTTCTTTAAAAGAGTATCAACTTCAAACGTGGTTCGTTCATTTGGCTGAAGTATGGACCATCGTGCTCTTCGACTTCCGTTTGAACTGCATCAAATTCATCATATAAAGCGTTCAGTCAATCACATCGAAGCTTCAACTCAGTGAAATTTCTTTTGTCCTTTTTTAAAATTCCATTAAAAAATGTACCAAATCTCGTTAACTTCCCTTTGATAACTCCCCGTCTGCGTACTGCTTCCTTCAAAATTCCTCTGACTGCTTTCCCGTAGGTGGCATACTTTATAGATAATAAACATCTAATTTACATGTTTCAATAACCACGCTCTGCTACCAATGATGCCCAATTGGGCGAATACGATAGCTATTATATTTCGGTTATGGTGGTAACCTAACTAACGTCTTGTGCGTTTTGGGTAGGCAACTCAACTTTCGGCTTTGCCAATGCAATAGTGATACTAGGGATAAATCACGACCGACACACCACAGACAATAGGAATATAAGGAAATGATTGATGGGAAAACAATTTATACGTACGCGAAATGGATGAAGGACGTAATATTTAGTTGAAAGGGAAATGCCCTGCGGTTGATTCTATGTGGTGCAATAACGCACAGGGCTCACATGAAATTTTGCACAACTATTTTGACATATTAATACTTACGGACCATCTTAAATAACTAAGGCAGGTCACTATGACTATGGTGACTGGATTCTGTGATAGCTGTGGTCGACCTAGGCGGCCTCGCACACACCACCCGGATGCTGGCGGAAAAATGTAGACTTGTGAATATTGACGACTTTATTGAAGTGCTTGGTTCAGCCAAATAATACACAATGTAACACAGTTGGTATAATATATTATAATAAATATCACAAAATAAATTGCGCCGCTACAATTATAGCTAGCTGACAACAATAATTTATAATAATAATAAATAGAATCTCAATAATCCGACGCACTGCGAACTTAAGCTCATATATATAAAAAAAAAACAAACAATATAAAATATAAAATTACGTAAAAAAGCATAATGAAACGAAGAGAATAATAATAATATGGAATAATAATGTCTTGTATCGGCCTTAATTATGCTTATCATTTCGTAATTATATGATGCGGCGGAGTTTTGGTGTTATCGTCATATCATTTCGACGACAACAAATACGGTTGTATTTACTTTCTGACCGTTCCTCTCATGTGTTAACAGTAGTTATAGGTAGTATAGTTGTACACCTATATAATATTTAAAAAATATTAATCATTATAGTTTATAAATAATATTTGATACTTCCAGTACATTCCCACACTCCCGCATAACAACCTATGCCCAATTAAATATATACACAACTAGTAATAACTAATAAGTGTCTATAGTACACAGCCATAAAATATAAAAATATTAGCGTATAAATAGTTCTAAGAACAGCCATTACACAATATATTATAACAACTGTTTAATATAATTGCTTCAACAATAATAATTATTTCACTTATTTATATTAGAACATTATGTATTCATTATATTTACCTCCTGTTGGATATTAGAAGTATTTAGCTTTCATTGTCCAAAGATAAGCCATCTGCACAATCTTATGTGCACCCAATTCTCTAGCCTTGTGCACGTATTCCAAAAAAGTATTTTTGGTGGGCGAAATCTTGTGACCTACGGAACACTTAAACCTATATCTCAATTTCCGAGTATAATCTGATACTCCGTACAACGGTCTACCACATTGACATTGAGGTATGTCAAATTCACTTGGAATTATACCGAAATAAATACATAACGATTTACCTAATGTACCAGCATTACTCCGTTCCTCATCAGTGAAATCTGGACCTAAATAGGCACCGAGTGAAAACACAAAGAGATGGTTAGGTAAAAGTAAAGTATTTAAATCAATTATAAGTAAAAAATTAAAACAACATTTCTCGTTGACGAAAAGAAGTCGAATTTCGATTGATGATTAATAGCATTGTAATACATTATGAAACAGAAAAGTATTAATATCCTAAAAATAGTCTTATTCATTCATAGTTACATAATTATAGTTTATACCATAATAATTGGTTTCCAAAATAATGCAATAATGCGGGACTGGATCGGACACTCCAAATATCATTTATAAACTATAATGAGTAATATTATAATATGCATTCCCATTTCAAATACTATTAAAGAAGTAAGTACCTATATTTCTCACTATTTTTAAATTCAATAATAGTGCTCAGAATATCGTATATAAATACTGACTTATACAAAATATGTGTACAATTAAAATACAAGATGTAATATTATGGAAGTATAAAATGTATACTACTGTAGTAAACCGACGGAGTCGCTTTCCTATATATTAAATATCATAAGTACATTCTCACGATATAGCACACTGAACAACAACAAGACTATTAATCTTTTTTCAATACCTTGAGTTTGGCAGCGCAATTAAAAAAATAATCTAACTGATTAATTCACGGATCTTCGCTTTACCAAAATAATGCGAAAACAAACCTATAATTCACTCGATCTTCGATTTGCCAAAATAATGCGAAAACAAACCTATTAAATTGCCAATAATTCACTCGGGTCTTTTGGCAATAACAACATCTAGCTCCGGCTCCTTTCAAATATCCATCTCCTAGACTCTACCGTGTACATTTATATCCGCATTTATATAAATATAAGATAATGTCTATAGCAAAATTAGAATTAGTATAGAGTTTGCACTACGTACATACCTACTGTATGTAACTATACTTTTCGCTCTGTCCTCAAATTTATTTACACTTAATTGTGAACAATTACTTTTTTAAAAACTTTAATAAAATTACTTATATCTAACTTGTGTAACTTGTCACTCTGCAACCTTTTCTCCTATTCAACCGTCAACGTCTTTGAACTCAAAATATAAGCGTTAGTAAGGGATCACTACACTACCTAGCACCTTGGTGATATGATCGACTCGTATGCCGCAATGGTAAAATATGTAAACAATGGCATCATTTAAATAATATAATTAAATGATAATATTATTTTGTGAGGTACACATGGCATCAGCACCGGAAGATGGATTTATGTTGTAGCAAGTGTAAACAATTTTCAGTAGTTTTGAAATGCTTCGTGAAAAACAAAAAAAAAATATTGAAAAACGGGAATTTTTACACAAAACCAGGTTTTTCACAAAATTGAATTTTTAATTTGGCTGTTTCTAAAAAATAAAAACTGTGGATACTATATTGCATATATGTGCAATATATATATGTATAACTGTATTATTAATTTTGCAGATACCACGGTCGGAAGAAGGTTGGCGTGAAGTAGCAAATGGATTTTGCTTAACATGGAATTTCCCACATTGCATTGGTGCACTCGATAGGAAACATGTACAGATAGAAGCACCAGAGAACAGCGGAAGTGTATATTATAATTATAATGGCACATTTAGTATCGTGTTATAACTACTGTGTATAACTACACTCTACTATAATTCTATTGTGGTTGCCAGTAGGTTGAATTGGTATTCTTTAAATTTATGTTGATTAAGTACTGATCAGTATTGACGGTAGATAAATAATTGGTTGGGATTGGAGTTGCTGATATATGTGCAATCACATTGGACTGTTATCTCTAGCATACCAGTTATATTAGTTCTAAATTAATTTGTGTTACTTAATGCTCATTGGGTCGTTGTGTTAGCTCCCTGTAGTAGGTGTGTGCAGTTGTTATCTTTTGCCACCATGTCAGACGAAGAGATCAAGACTCGCAACAAAGACTGAAACAGCGTGCCACAGCTAACCGAGACCTCGCTGCAAGTCATATTCGTCGCCTACATGCTTCAGCAACAGCAGCAGGAAATTATCCAACAGCAAGGAGTCTAGTTATGACAGCAGTTCAGGACCTGAATAATTGGTGGTCACAATACTCAGTGGAAAGTGATGCGTTATTGAACGTTATGGTTGAGTTGGACGAAATAGATCAATTTTCTCCAGAAGCTGATGCTACTGTCTACCCCTTGGTGGTAGAAATCAAATCAATCGTCAATAATTCTGAGCAGGAAGCCTCAAAATCATCTAAAGACTCTCGACCAGTTACACAGATCAGTGATACTGCATTAATTGCAAATCCAGCTGAAGATCATCAGTCGGTTACACAAACTAGTAACGCAGCCATGCTTCCAAACACAGTCTCCGTTATAGAAACACAGTCGTCATCTAGTGTAAGTGGTTCTCCGACTTCAGATGCCTCCTTCCGTCCTCAAGTATCAATGCGCCTTCCTGAAATCCCTCTGCCAAAATTCGACGGTGATCTCCGTTCGTGGCCAGACTTCCGGGACTGCTTTGTTGATCTTGTAATCCGCAACACGGACATTGATTCAGACAGCACCAGATTTTACTATTTACTTGGGTGCCTTCAAGCTGATGCGGGTGAAGTACTAAAAGGGATTCCAGTGACCAAAGACACCTTCCAGTTGGCTTGGAACACATTAGTAAAGTCATACGATAAACCAAGAAAACTGGCCTCCTCAATCATTGAGGGTTTTTTGGTTGCGCCCGTATCCACTTCAGAATCGCTGGTGGATCTCAAACGTTTTTTGAGTGTATTTGATGAAGGACTAGCAATATTGGAATCGTTGCACTTGCCAGACCTGGGTTCGTTCCTGCTGTTTACCATTGCTTCAAAATTCCTTCCTCTACTATACTACATTCGATAATTCTGCAGGCATTTCCAACGTGATACTTCGCAATCTGGGAACCTGTTATGTCGGGAGAGATATTTCTTAAGGCGTGTAGGTTGGCCAACTGAAAGCTGTTAATGCAATGTTTACCATAAATGTAGTCATTGCCATCACCAACCACGGTGTCAACGAGTTTAACTTTTAAATTGAGATAAGCTGTTACACAGTTAAAGTCGTATTTAACTCGCGTGATATCCGATATCCAACACGTCTTTAATGGCCACTGACTTCTTATCATAGTGTATGTGCATCACGCTAATAAAGCTCGCCAATTGACTACGTATGTTTGAATCTTTTAGGCAACGGCGATGATTGGAATACACTGACATCAAGAAAGGAAAATACTCAACCGTATTCATGTACTCCATTACATTGCTGTTCATCAAATCCGCATTCTCTCCGGAGAAGTAACTTCCTAATATAAGCTTACAATCACTCCTGAAACTCTTTTCATTACCTTCAATCCATTTGGACTTGTATTTTTACACGAAATTACCAGGGATGGTAGCTGGGTACTTGTGTAATCTAATGGTGTACGATTCGAGTCGATCGCACAATTATAGGATTTTTAATTAATTTTTTATATCAAATTTTGCACAACCTTCCGGTGATTGTAGGGAGATCGGCCAGACTCCAGTCATCAGCTCAGTGCATACTAGGGTGTTCCTTAGCTATAGATGATGAAAAAAAAATATCAATATGTTTTTGGGCTCACCCCCTAAAAACGTGTGTATGCATATAAAAATGAATTACAAAAAATTTTGAGGCAATCAAACAAGGTTAACCCGTGCCGAATTGTACCTAAAGTTTAAATTAATTCAGTTTTTGAATATTTATGAGAATTTTTTATATTTTTTTAAATATTTCACAAACCGTTGAGTAAATCGAAATTATTTATATAATATGTTTTAAAGAGAACAAAATTGTCTATAAATTATGTTCTAACAAGTTTTTGATACAGTCTACTGTTCATGAGATATATTGACTCAAATGTATAAAAATACCGTATTCTCAAAATATTTACTAGGTATTAAAACTTAAAACTATATAAACATTAAATATATTATTATTAATTGTAAATAGCTTTTTTCTCAGTGGCAGAAATATGATACTGATGTCTAAATATAAATATTTTCAAGCAATAGATTGCTCGAGCCATCCATCGAGCTTGATGCATTGCACCCGGTGGATGAATTTTAATTTTTTTTTCAAAATTTCCACCAATGAATATTAATACCAATTCTAAAAACTCATTGTTATCATCGCGAGAATTTTTTATTTCTAATTGACTTCGTACAAAATTAAGAATATCTTCCCTGATATTTTCTATGGCACTACTACAATATTGATCTTCTAATCAACTTATAAAATTACTAGAATCAATATCAATCCATTTTTTTTGAAAATTTTTGAATAATGGAATAGATGGGCTAGTAGTTACTTGTGGTATTTTAGTTTCAAAAACACTTCTTAACACCAACTCGTATATGTGGTGTCTGCATGGGAGGTAGAGTAAATCTTTGTCTAATTTTTGTTCAATACGAATACATGCTCCATTCAAACGGCCTGTATTCGATGAAGTAGTATCACAACATAAACCTTGCACAACATCTAATAAACCCCATTCATCTAAAGCATTATATACAGCGGTCGCTTGTTCTTCACCGGTTGACCTCTGAAGTATTGGAACTCCGATGATTTGTTCAATATTTTTACTAGTTACGATAATTGGAAGTCGTTCAACTGTTGTATTTTTGACGTGAACATTAGGTAATAATTTTCCATCCCAGTGAACTATAACATAACTTGGGCGAGATTCTTGAAACCGTGATTTTATCATTTCAGCACGTTCACAACGGTGCATTTCTCGTGCTCTATGAATAGAAGTGGAATTGATTATATAATCATCGTTGTCGAATCCTAATGCCTCTAATGTTGCTTGTAAAACGTAAACTGAGTCACGAATACTTGATTAAAATATTAAAATTTGAAAATTAAGGAACACCCTAGTGCATACGGGGTTTTTGATATTTTTACACGAAATTACCAGGTATAGTTGTCTGGAACCAGGGGTACGAAACCCCGTGCGTTGGCCGAACCAGGCGATTGCGGCCATGAACACGGTCTTCAGAAGGGCGTGGCATACGTGAAAACCCAGCGTCCCGTATCCCGCCTTAGTCTTTTAACCAATTATATAATATACGGGTCTAACATCATGTTGGTGCGGGAACCAATTCCATTTTTTTCGTAGGTTCAGACTTCAGATCATAGGGAACCAATACCTCAATCAGCTGATCGAGTTTCGCTTCCATACTGTTCTATGCTGGAACGTGTATAATCTAATGGTACAGGTTTCAAGTCGATCGCACAATTATACGATTTTTAATTAATTTTTAAATAATTTGAATCCGTAATAATCGGCAATACCGGGTTGATGTACAGTCGGTTGGCATAGTCTTCGTAATTAATATCTAACAGTTTTTGAACATATTTACATAAAATGCATATCTCGTTAAATACTGGTCTTACAGATTTCGGGACCTATGTACAATTGTGATTTATTGAACATCTTTAGTCCGATTTCTAAGTACCTAAGTGATCACACTTGTACTTGTGTAGACAAGTTGCACAACCACCCGGTGATTGCAGGGAGATCGGCCAGACTCCAGCCGTCCGCTCAGTGCATACGGCGTTTTTGATATTTTTACACGAAATTACCAGGGATGGTAGCTGGGTACTTGTGTAATCTAATGGTGTACGATTCGAGTCGATCGCACAATTATAGGATTTTTATGTAATTTTTAAATAATTGGAATCCGTAATAATCGGCAATACCGGGTTGATGTACAGTCGGTTGGCATAGTCTTCGTTTTTAATATCTAACAGTTTTTGAACATATTTACATAAAATGCATATCTCGTTAAATACTGCTTAGGTTAGATAAGACTTTAAGGTACCATTTGAACGTGCATGCATCTATAAAACCATTTAAATGTACTATTTGTTCTGAAACATTCCATCAACCGTATAAGAAAAGCAGGCATATCAAAAAAAATGGTAATTTATAAAACTTAATAATTCAAACATAATTTTAATGTTATAACATTAAAATGTTGTTTGAACATTGTTTGAACATTCATCGGTAAGAGTAGTTTCTGAATTGCAGCCGTTTACAATGATTGGTATGGTACCGATGGGCTCTAGAACGTAACAGAAAATATGTAGGTATCATTTATTGGTAAGTAAATTAGTTACAAATTACTTTTATAGGCGTGTACGTCAACATTTTGGATGGCATTCACAAGAGGAAATGGTCCGCGATGATTGCTTGCCAAATGACAAATTTATTTTGATCGGTTGATAAATTTCATTCTGCAAACATCACAAAACTTATTCATCATTAAAATATTAAAACTAAAATTAAAATAAATATTAAAACATTAAAAAAACACAATCATCAAACATCTTATCAATTGTTATCATGGTGTGGTATCAACACTGTGGCGCGTTACGAAACATTTACCACATTTATATAATCTTTTGTACCGGTGTTATCTAATTTTTTTGTGCATCACGATCATAGACATATAATATAATAAGAATAGAATTTTCTTCTTTATTTTGTAAACAACAAATCCTGCTATGTATGTTACAACATCATTAAGGTAATTTCTGTGCTCATAAATGTCTAATATATCTTCTGTTTCAATTATTTCAGTTCCTGCAGCACATAACAAATCTAGCATTTCAGATTGCTCATCATTTTTTTTTTTGGTGGAGCGCTTGATATTCTTAAAATACTTGTGTCGTCTAACGCTAAAGCTTTGGCAGTCAATGGACATTTAACTTCAGCATTGATTATAATGGATTTGTATGCAGCTTCAAACTGTGCTACAGTGGGATTATTATTGAAACCTCCCTTAGCTCTAATGCCTCCAAATAGCAGTTCTATATGGTCTTGATTAAATTTATAGGTAAGTAAAAATTGCAATAGTTAGGTTTCTATAAGCTCACTGTAAAGATTTTTAATAGTTTTTAAACATGTTATTAATCCTAAAAATCCAGTCTTGCGTTCTGATTGTAACACTGATCTTTTTCCATATTAAGGTGGTTTTTCAAGACATTGGATGCCGTTTAAATAATCTATAGATTCGTCAATGAATATATTCAAGTTAAAAAAATTATCAGACAGTGGTTTTTTGAAAGGACTCTTACTCAAAAAATTTCTTGAATTTAATAAATCAAATATATTATAAATCCTTCGACAAAATTCAATGGTAGCTTCAGCATTTTCAAAAAGTTTGTTCTTCAGGTCTTTACAACAATATTCCAAGGCATCAGCAACACTGTTACTGAAAACCTGTGTTGCTAAACGTACCTTCATTTTTTCTCGATGATAATGTATATGTCTTGTTCTATTTTTTGTAGCAGCATGTAGACCAGTCACATTTTGCATATCGACCAAATGTTTAAAATATATCCATTTAATTGGTTTATTATTTTTGTCAAACAATAATCCCCAATCACTTAAGCAATTCCTTATTAATTTAACCATATGGCATGGGTCAAGAACTATATGTACATTATCTTCTGTTAATGGATGTTTAAAATTTGGCTTTAAATCAGCATAATTTAGATTAGCGCCAAGGAAAGACGCCATCGACATATTATTAGCCGCCCCATCAAAAGTTATTGTTTTTATTATAATACCAGTTTCATGTAGTTGATGAAGACAAGATTTTATAATGTTGGATTTTTCTTCTGCAGATATTCCATTGACTAAGTACTATGCAATTGGTACTTTCCAATGGGTATTTAAACCAACTACCATAATGACAAAAGCATCTTAAGCATACGGCAAATTATCCATTGAATCGGTACCCCCTCCTTGAACATAATCAACATAGCCTTGATGCCTGGAACCTGTCCATTGAACATGTTGCTTTATGCTCATTTCATCTATGATCAAACATCCA